GTGAGTAAAAGATCATAGCACTTTTGGGGAAAGAAACTGTGTGTGGAGAAGGACAGGAGATTGTAGGGGGTGGATACCTTCAAACTTTTGTTTCTATAGTCCATTGACATAAACAATTGCTTACCTTCAGGAGGTAGCACTGTGTACATGGATAACTGGGGAAAAGACTGACAAAAACTTCATAACTTAAAAAAAGACTTTATAAATTGTAAATAATTTCTGCAGGTCCTGTAGCAATTCACAGCCTGTTTGTCCCACCACATTTAGTTGAGAATGGTTTTTAAGTTCTTCCTAGCTCTTTTTATTCCTGCTTAACTATTTATACATTTGCTCTTCCTTGAACTACATTGGTAGTACTGCTTATCACTGGGTGATGGAGTCCTGGGAAAACATGATGAAAAAAAGTACTCTGTAGCAGATTATGTGCTTAGATGTGTATCTCGTGATATATATATATATATGCTTTGTTTTTTTATTTTTTTATAATTTTTTTATTTATTTATAATAGTCACATAGAATGAGAGAGAGAGAGGCAGAGACACAGGCAGAGGGAGAAGCAGACTCCATGCACCGGGAGCCCGACGTGGGATTCGATCCTGGGTCTCCAGGATCGCGCCCTGGGCCAAAGGCAGGCGCCAAACCACTGCGCCACCCAGGGATCCCTATATATATGCTTTGGTAGACACTCTTCAATGAGCAGGTAAAGGCAGTGAGAAGTGAAGAACCAGGGACATTTAATAAGCAGCATCACATTAAGAGAGCCACACAACATCTGTCAATGAAAAGCTACTGCCTATGACCATGTTAGGTGGCAAAAAACTCTGTATTTACTACTATCCTGTTGGTGGAGAAAGATTCTGGAATGACATGGACCATTAATTCACAGTACTTACACAATATAGAACAATGTTATTTTTGCAGACAAAAATTTGGATTCTAAGCTAACTTTGATATTTTCTTCTACCAAAATACTATCATGTACGAGAATACAATTGAGATTTGCAATACTAGGTAGCTTATTTTAAAAATATAACTTACCTTGATTATATTTTATGACATATTCTTTTGTTTAGATGTCGTTTGAAAAGAACCTGAAATCAAATTTCTAATTGGGAAAGAGATTCAGCATTGATTATGTGTGTGCATATGTGTGTATGTATATATATATATATATATATATATATATATATATATATATATATAGTATCCAAGAAATCAGGAAATCAGTGTTCTTTACAGAAGAGCTAGGGAATAGAGTTTTTCTGGATTAGAAATATAATTGTCTGTTTATAGCAGCAATGTTCACAATAGCCACACTGTGGAAGGAGCCTCAGTGTCCATCGAAAGATGAATGTATAAAGAAGATGTGGTATATGTATACAATGGAATATTACCCAGCCATTAGAAATGACGAATGCCCACCATTTGCTTTGACATGGATGGAACTGGAGGGTATTAGGCTAAGTGAAGTAAGTCAATCGGAGAAGGACAATCGTATGGTTTCACTCATACAGGGAATATAAAAAATAGTGAAAGGGATTATAGGGGAACGGAGAGAAAATGAGTGGGAAAAATCAGGGAGGGTGACAAAACATGAGAGACTCCTAACTCTGAGAAACGAACAAGGGGTAGTGGAAGGGGAGGTGGGTGGGAGGATGGGGTGACTGGGTGACAGGCATTGAGGGGGGTACTTGATGGGATGAGCACTGGGTGTTATACTATATGTTGGCAAATTGAACTCAGTAAAAAATATGTATATGTAAAAAAAGATAAGAAGCTTTTGCACAGCAAAAGATACAGTCAACAAAACTAAAAGACAACCTACAGAATGGGAGAAGATATTTGCAAATGACGTATCAGATAAAGGGCTAGTATCCAAGATCTGTAAAGAACTTATTCAACGACCAAAAAAAAAAAAAAAAGAACTTATTCAACGCAACAGCAAAGAAACAAACAATTCAATCATGAAATGGGCAAAAAACATGAACAGAAATCTCACAGAGGAAGACATACACATGGCCAACAAGCACATGAGAAAATGCTCCGCATCCCTGGCCATCAGAGAAATACAAATCAAAACCACAATGAGATACCACCTCACACCAGTGAGAATGGGGAAAATTAACAAGGCAGGGAACCACAAATGTTGGAGGGGGTGTGGAGAAAGGGGAACCCTCCTGCACTGTTGGTGGGAATGTGAACTGGTGCAGCCCCTCTGGAAAACTGTGTGGAGGTTCCTCCAAGAGTTAAAAATAGAACTTCCCTATGACCCAGCAATTGCACTGCTGGGGATTTACCCCAAAGATACAGATGCAGTGAAATGCAAGGACACCTGCACCCCGATGTTTATAGCAGCAATGTCCACAATAGCCAAACTGTGGAAGGAGCCTCGATGTCCATTGAAAGATGAATGGATAAAGAAGATGTGGTTTATGTATACAATGGAATATTACTCAGCCATTAAAAACGACAAATACCCACCATTTGCTTCGACGTGGATGGAACTGGAGGGTATTATGCTGAGTGAAGTAAGTCAATCAGAGAAGGATAAACATTATATGGTCTCATTCATTTGAGGAATATAAAAAATAGTGAAAGGGAATAAAGGGGAAAGGAGAAAAAATGAGTGGGAAATATCAAGAAGGGAGACAGAACATGAAGACTCCTAACTCTGGGAAATGAACTAGGGGTGGTGGAAGGGGAGGTAGGCGTGAGGTGGGGGTGACTGGGTGACAGGCACTGAGGGGGGCAGTTGATGGGATGAGCACTGGGTGTTATTCTATATGTTGGCAAATTGAACACCAATAAAAATAAATTTATTAAAAAAATAAATAAAAATAAAAAATAAAAATACAAATACAAAAAGAAATATAACTGTCTACCTTTGTCTAGAAGGTCTCTCATTCCTGTTATTTTATACCTCATTCTAGCCTTTGCTGATACATTGATATTGACAGTAGAGCATTTGAGCCTTAAATTTGTTCTGAACTTTTAAAAAATCTGGAGCTATACACTTGGTATTTGGAATTGTGCTGTACTTATTTTTTAAGAACAGAGGGAACCTGGAAAAGATACATATTTTTTAAAACAGATACTGTGTGAAGATAATAATCTTAAGAGTAAAAGTATGTGTTTTGTCAGGTTGAAGCTGATGGCATTTATGAAAAGTTTTTTTTTTAAGATTTTATTTACTTATTTATGAGAGACGGCGGGGGGTGGGGGGCTGTGGCAAAGACACAGGCCGAGGGAGAAGTAGGATCACCGCAAGCAGCCTGATGTGGGACTCGATCCTGGATCCTAGGATCATGCCCTTGACCAAAAGCAGAGGCTCAACCGCTGAGCCACACAGACATTCCTATGAAAAGTTTTAAATCTTGTTCTAGATTTGCCTCTGTAGCTTTAATTAGCTCAGTTAAGTCAGCTCACACTTATTTTCTTGTTAGATCTAACTCAGGCATTTGTGAAGTGATATGAATGATACCAAAAAAGGCTCCATTCACCCAAAATATCTAATCAACTTAGTACTTGACATGGACATAATATTTGGGAGAAAGGAAGAAGCCTTTTTGAAGGAATGGAGACAACCCAAAGATAAATCTTCTTCAGTTTCTCAATTTTGACTGGGGTCAATTTCAGGGATAATGAGGAGTAAACATAAAAACTTACCTTGAAACTTCCTCCGTGGAGAATAAGGTATTTTTTGTGAGATGGCTTGAGTTCTGTGGGAAGAAAGCACATTAGGTCAGGAGGAGGATTCTCAATATCTGAACATCTTTGACATACGGATGGAGAGTTTTTTGTCCTGGGAGGATAGGGGGAAGCCTTCCCAAAAGGTAAGGAAGTAGGTTTTTGATAAGTTTCAAATGGCCATTCTGCCCGTGCAACCTCTTGATGAATTATAATGAAGACATGATGTTTGGGCTCTTAAAGGACTCCATGAAATCACAATTTTCAATGAGAATAAAACACAATTTTCAATGACTGTAAACCATTTAATATATACTTGATTGACTTCCAGGCCTTTCATGTTTTAATCTGCCTTCCCCTCTGCACTCTCCACGCAATTTCCTGACATCCTGTCTCATCCTATCATATCCCATTCCTTTTCATCCCATTCCATTCCATTTCATTCTACCACTTTTCACAACTTACTGTTAAATATCTACTCTGTATAAAGCATTGTTAGGTGCTCTGAGATGGAAAATGAATTCGGCATTGTAACAACCTTCAAGGAGCATAGAATCCCATTGGAGAAACCAACTCATTCATATGGAAAAGAATGGTAGATGATAGGAAACCACGTGCCACTAAGTGACTAATTGTAAACACACATTCAGTATTTAAGAGAGGGGGAAATGTAGGCTTAGTTGATCTGAGATGGTTTCAGAAAGAGATCATGACATTTGTATCTTTGGGGTAAATACCTGGTAGAGCAATTGCTGGATTATAGGGTAGCTTTATTTTTAACTCTAGATTGAATTTTAAATAGGCTCTCAAGGCCAGAAGGTAAACCAAATACTTGTCATCAGACAGCCTGCAATACCTATAGATTTGGATTGATTTTTCTCTTCTCAAGATCCCCAAAATATCCTGAGGTTCCTGAACCTGCCAGAAAGTGACCTTCTTTATTCACCTGATAAGATTGCTCAGAAACCTGGAAGCAAGATATCAAGCTATTTTTCCCAATGGGCTTTATTGGCTCTGTATGGTCAACATTAGTTCCTTAAAGCTCTTTGGACATATCTGAGTCTATGCATGTCTCACAAATATGACATTCCAGTTAAAGCCCTGGTCATATAACCAATGTTTCCAATTGTGTCCTTTTAAAAGGAGAACAGACTCTTAATGAACTTATGCAAATAAATACATTGCCATGAAAACATTAGAACATGCACTGAGAGTTTATGAATTCTGGAGGGGTGAGGTAAGGAGAAAAAGAAATGTTCAACTGAGTGGCGCCTGAGTTTTGAACTGCTTTGCTGCGGGTGGGGTATGCGTCCTCTGCGTGGTCGCCTGGATGCAGCTCGCCATGGCCATACCCTCCCTTAAGGAGCTTGACTCCTTCAAGTACAGCGACCTGCAGAACTTGGCCAAGAGTCTCGGCTTCCGGGCTAACCTGAGGGCAGACAAGTTGTTAAAAGCCTTGAAAGCCTACCTTAAAGATGAAGCAAAAAAAGAAAATGAGAGTCAAAATGGAAGCCAAACTTCTGCATCCTCCTGGGATGAGATGGAGATGCAGATGAGCAGCCAGGAACAAGCTAAGAGGGAGCCAGTTGGCCACATCACCAAAACAAGGAGAAAGTGCAAGAACCCTGACTCCCAGGATCTTTCAGAGATAAAAATAAATGATCACACTGAATTCCAGAATCCAGAGAAGCAGGAAAACCAGGATCTCAGAACTGTTGGAGAAGTTCCTTCACCACTAGATGAGAACCAAGGAGAGGAGAATGCAGTTTCCACAGGAAAAAGAAGAATAAATGGTAATGAAGACTCAAAAGTACCTGCAGAAAGAAAGAAGCCTCTCTGCGCAGATGGGTTTTCCAAACCTGGAAAAAGTAAAAGAACTATAAGTGCTACTCCAAACTTTAAGAAGTTTCATGGGGCTCGTTTTAAGGAAATGGAGCCCATTGATCAATATATTGAAAGGAAAAAGAAACATTTTGAAGAACACAACTCATTTAATGAACTGAAGAAGCAGCCGGTCACCAAAGAAGTGGTGGTGACTCCAGTTCCTCTCCGGGGAAGGCTCCCTGAGGCTCGAACTCCCTCCAGCCAGCGCCACTTGCAGGGCCAGCCCCTGGGCCCTACAGGCCAGATCACCTTGTGTGGGAAGGGGTCCACCAAGCATTCCATTCTATTGGCAACTAAGATGAACGTCAGGTTTTCAGCTGCTACCAAAGATAATGAACATAAGCGTTCACTGACCAAGACTGCAGCCAGAAAGTCTCCACATGTGACTGTATGTGGGAGTACTCCAAAAGGCCAGGCTATGCTCGGGACATGCAAGTTAAAGACCACAAAGGGGAATTCTGCTTCTGTTGTTATCCCATTCAAGTTGACAACTGAGGCAGCACAGACTCCAGTCTCCAAGAAGAAACTGGTGTTTGATCTCAAAGCCAGTCTGTCTCATCCCCTCAACTATGAGCCACACAAAGGCAAACTGAAACCATGGGGTCAACCTAAGGAAAATAGTTCTCTTAAGCAACATGCCAACAGAGTTAGATTCCACAAGAAAACTTACAAACAACCTCCTCTCCAGACTCAGGAGGAACAACGGAAGCAACATGAACAAAGACGAAAGGAGAAGAAAGCAAAGATTTTGGGAGCTCGAACAGGCCTCATTATGGCTGAAGATTAATTTTTTAGCATCCTGTAAATATTACTTCATTTTGAACCCTTTCTTTAATGTAAATATTTTTCTGTCTTCCTCACTTGAGTCAAGACTTCCTTCTGCTGTTTGTTGTTCACTATCTATGTACTGTTGGGGGTTCTTCACAGGCTGCATCTCTGAAAAGACCTTATTAACCTTAACGCTCACAAATTCTTTGAAATGGTTTTTACCTAAGTGTCTGTACAATTCAGTTTTCTGAGACTCATTCTATATATAACCTTGACTTAGATTTTTAATGTCTAGTTTCCTCTGCTGACAGAACTGGAATCCTCTTCTAGACAGAAGCTTTGACCTGATGGTAGGTAATTCTACAAGCCTTAGTAGAACTTGGACCAATAAAAAGCTGAGAAGGCCACCTCTTCCTCCTCTAGAGAACCACGTAGTCTTACTGAAATGGGGAGCCATACACATCGGTACTGGCATATTCTACCTGTGTGATGTGGTTTATTACCTATGCAGGTCTTCTCAGATCACCTGATGTAATTTATCACTCAATATATTCTTAAAAACTCCATAGCTCATTCTAGCCTTACTTATTCAAAAATATCCAGGCCTATATTGAAACCTGAGGGTTGCTGCTTCAAGGGTCAGTATACTCTGTCAGTTAGATGTTACTCATTTTATGGGAAAGACCAGAGTTGTTCAGCATCACAGCCACATTTGTTGCCCCTGAGTGGAGCTTCTGGGCTTTGTACTGATGAAGATTTTCATAAATGTTTTCTCATGATAGTAGATTCTTTGCAAATAAATTGACTTCCAGATTGAGTTGAGCAAAAAAAAAAAAAAAAAGAAAGAAAAGAAAAGAAAGAAATGTTCAACTTTTTCACAAAGGTATATTTTATCAAATTGCTGTAACTCAGTTAGCTTAAGAAAAAATTCTCTTAAATGTAGAAAAATAAATTATTTAAAAAATCAGCAATCTTTGATACAAAAATTTTATGAAAATTATAACCATCCTCAGTTTATTTAGTCCCATGTTATTACTTCTTGTTTTGCTTGAATTCAGTTTTACCATTAGTTCTGGAGACTCTTACCCAGTTCAGTTTTCTGATCTTAAGGTTATCAGAAACCTGTATTTTTCAAGTCTTCTCCATAAATCTCTCTGAAGATGAAAGACATTTGTAAGAGGTTTTGGTAAAGGCATCTGAGTAAAAGTGTAACTGTATATGATAAAAGACTTTAAAACTGACATAGTTAAAGATCTGATTAGAGTTTATTATTATGGTATTAACAAGGAAATTTAGTTGTTTTAATGATATACAACACTTTAAGATAATAACATATTAGAACATCAGATTTCTAGAACTTGTATACAATTTTAGAATACTTAATTTAAGTTTTTATTAAGTTTTCAATTTTAATTCCAGTATTGTTTACATACAGTGTTATATCAATTTCAGGTGTACGATATAGTGATTCAACAATTCTACATATCTTTACTCAGTGCTCATCATGATAAGTGTACCATTAATTCCCTACACCTATTTCACCTATTCCCCCACTATCAATTTTCTCTCTGATATGCTTTTTTGTAACAAGTATCTTCAGTTAAAGTTACTATTTTTTTAAATAACATTTTTTTTCTTGAAGCATGCTTCAAAATACATGTTTTCTAAAAGATATATATGTTAAACATTCCATCCAAGAAAAATAGAATACATATTTTTTTCAAGTACACACTGAGAGTTCCCCAGTTAAATCATATAAAAAGAGGCATTACGGGATCCCTGAGTGGCTCAGCGGGTTTAGCACCTGCCTTTGGCCTGGGATGTGAACCTGGAGTCCCAGGATCCAGTCTCACATCAGGCTCCCTGCATGAAGCCTGCTTCTCCCTCTGCCTGTGTCTCTGCCTCTCACGCTCTCTCTGTGTCTCTCATGAATAAATAAATAAAATCTTTTTTAAAAAAGAGATATTACAAAATTACAAATTTAAGAAGAATTAAATCATACCAAGTATATTTTTCAGCCACAATGGTATAAAACTAAAGATCAACAATAAAACAAAGCTGGAAAATCTACAATGTAAGTATTAAATATTTAATACGTAAATATTCAACAACACACTACTGCACAAACCATGGGCCAAATAAATCAAACAGCAAATCAAAATAAAATATGTCTTAAAACAAAAGAAAAAACCCTACAACATTCCACAACTTATGAGATGCAGCAAAAGCAGATGTCAGAGTCAAATTTATGCTGTAAATGCTTGTATTAAGAAAAAAAGTTCAAATAAACAATTTTACACCACAAGGAACTAAAAATATAAAAAACTTAGCTGAATTTAGTAGAGGAAGGAAAGAACAAAGAAAAATCAAGTAAATAAAGACCAGAATAAACAAAAACAACATTGAAAACAATGATCAGTTTTTAAAAAATGCAAAAACACAAACAATATTGACAGTCCTTTAACTACATTAAGAAAAGAAAGAAGACTCAGAAACCAAAATGAGAAATGGAAGGGAAAACAGTACAACAGATAACCAAAGAAATAGTGTAAAAACAGGTTATTATAAACAATTATATACTAGCAAATCAAATAACTTGGGAGAAAAACAGATTAATTCCTAAAAATGCACAAGTTACCACAATTGAATCATGAATCTTGAATCCAAGAAATAGGAAGTTGTATTAGACCAATAACAAGAATGAAAGGTAAATTAGGAATCAAAAAATCTCCCATCACAGAAAAGCCCAGGACCATATGGTTTCATTGGTGAATTCTACCAAACATTAAAAAAAATTAATGACAAGCTTAATCAAAATCTTACAAATAATGGAATAGAGGGAACACATTTAAAATCATCCCATCAGGTCAGTACTATCCTGATATCAAAGCAGTATAAAAACAATATAGGAACAAAAAAGTCTAGTTTGTCCAATAGAAATATTGCTACTCTGACTTTCTTTTAGCATCCATTTGCATGATAAATGTTTCTCCACCTCCTTACTTTCAATCTGCAGGTGTCTTTAGGTCTAAGTGAGTCTAAAGACCTAAATGAGTCTTGGGGCAACTGGATGGCTCATTTGGGTAGGTGTCTGACTCTTGATTTTAGCTCAGGTCATGATATCAGAGTTGTGAGATCAAGCCCTGTGTCAGGCTCCATGCTGGCTGGCATAGGGCCTGCTTAAGAGTCTGTCTGCCCTTCTAAAAAATTTTTAAAATTTAAATATTTTTTAAAATAAAATGAGTCTTTTGTAGGCAGCACATAGATGGGTCTTGTTTGTTTTGTTTTTTATCCATTTTATCCATTCGTTCATTTATATCTATTTCATTACATGCTTTGTCATTGTTTTTGGAGATTTTCTCTGATCCTTTCTTGTCCTTGTCAATTTTGGTCTCTCTTTTGCACTCCAAGTGTCCCCTTTAATATTTCTTGCAAGGCTGGTTTAGTTTTCACAGACTCTTTTTGTTTTTGTTTATCTGTAACTCTTTATCTCTCCTTTTTTTCTGAATGATAGCCTTGCTAGATAGAGTATATTTGGCTGCAGATTTTTCCCAGTCAGCACTTTGAATAAATATTTCATGTCATTCCTTTCTGTTTTGCCAAGTTTCTGTTGAGAAATCTCTAGCTAGCCTTATGGATTTTCCCTTACAAGTTAAAGACTTCTTTTGTTTTGTTGCTTTTAGGATTTTTCCTTTAACACTATATTTTGCAAACTTAATTACATTATGCCTTGGTGTTGGCCTGCTTTGGTTGATTTTCATGGGCATTCCCTGTGCCTCCTGGATTTAGATGTCTATTTCCATCCCCAAATTAGGGAAGTTTTCTGCTATTATTTCTTGAAATAAATTTTGTGTACACTTTTTTCTTTCTTCTTCCAGGATTCCTATAATATGAATGTTATTATGTTTGATGTAGTCACTGAGTTCCCTAAGTCTGTTTCATGAGTCACATGATTCTTCTTTCTCTCTTTTTTTCAGCTTCATTGTTTTCCATTATTTTGTCTTCTAGGTCACTAATTCATGCCTCTGCTTCTTCCAGCCTGTTATTCATTGCAATAAGCCTGTTTCTAATCTCCTATATTTCACTCTTCATCTCTGATTCTTTTTTAACTTTTTCATCTCTATGGTAAGGGTCTCATGTCTTCCATTTTTTCTCAAGCTCAGTGAGTATCCTTAGGATTGTTGCTTTATATTCTCCATCAGGTATGTTACTTTTAACTATTTTGCTTAGATCTATGGCCATGATATTATCTTGTTCTTTCATTTTGAATAAATTCCTCCATTTCAGCATTTTGTCTAAGTCTCTGCCTTCTTCTCTGTGTTAGGAAAGTCAGTTATGTCTCCTGCTGGTGAAAGTAATGGCCTTATGAAGAAGAGGTTGAGTAGTGCCCAGAGCCTGAAACTTTAGGGAGTGTCTCCAGTGTATGCTGTATGCACTCTGCTGTTGTGTTTTGACTGCTCTGTCCTTCAGACCATTTGTCTGTAGCAGCTCTCCGTGCTAGCTGTGGGCAGTGTTTGGTCCCTGGCCTGAATGTGGCAAGTTATAACTAGATGTGCTCTGGTCTGCTTGGGAAATTAAACCTATTACCACCTCCAGAACTGAGGTCCTGAAGAACTCTCTGGTTCAGGAGATGTGGTGCAGACAGGGTTTTGTGCTGGTCTTCTTGGGGAGGGGCCTGCCATGCAGGAACTGTGTAGTAAGCTTAATTGAGAAGGGCAGTCCTGCCAGAGTGCCAAGGAGTGGGGCTTGGCATAAGCAAGTTGGGCAGATAGTGTCTGCACTGACCTGCTTCCTTTAGGTGACTCTGTGTTTATGCTAAGGGGCAGGGGAGGGAAATGGTGCCAACCAGCTCCCTTATTCTCCAAGAGATGTCTCCCTGAATGCTGCCTCTTAGGGAAGTGCTCCTAGAATAGCAAATAATCTCCCTGCTGTGTGCCCCAGGCATTTTTAGATCACTCTTTCCATGCTATTTATCCCCAGATAGAACGCTATTTTAATAACATATATACCCAAATATAA